CATGCTGACAATCATAGAAATGTAGGGCTAGAAGAGACCTTAAAAAGTCATGAAGTCCAGGCCCCTTTACTGAGGTAAAAATCAAGTAAACATATATCACCAACTCTATTAGTTGTTTGTCCAACATGTTCGTAAAAGCCTCCAATCATCGGGATTTTACCATCTCCTTCGGAAGCCTATCCATAAATTTTTAACAACTCTTATAGTAAGTTTGTCCTAATATCTAATCTAAATATCCTTAGCTGCAAATTAATATCACTACTTCTTGCCCTTCCTTCAGTAAATACAGAGAACAATGGTTGACAATTCTCTTTATAACAGCACTTAGCATATATGACAGTTTTTCAGATCTCTCATCAGCCCTCTTTTCTCAAAACAAACATACCCAGATTTTTTAGGCTCTCTCCACAGAGATAATAATTTCTTAATAGTTTTATCATTTTTGTTGCTCTCTTCAGATACGCTCTCAAATTTGTCTACATCTTGCCTGAAGTGCAGTGCCCAGAAATGCACACAGTACTTCAGCTGACACCTTACCAGTGCTAAGTAGACCAGGACAGTTCCCTCCAATGTTTAACTACAATGCTTCTGTTAATACATTCCAGAATGATATTTGACTTGTTTGCAACTGTATCACATTACTGAGTCATTCAATTTGTCATCCACTCTTACTCTCACATCCTTATTATCAGCACTATAGCCCATTTTTCCCCATTTTTTAGCTATGCACTTAAACTTGCCTGTCCTAAGTGGAATACTTTGCTCTTATATTTATTCAGTTTCATCTGGTTGATTTCTGACATTCTTCAAAATATCCTGATAAATTGGATTCTAAATCTGTCCTCCAAAGTGCTTGGATGCTTCCCAGGTTGGTGTTGCCTGCAAATCTTATAAATACTCCATTCCAATAGCCAATTCACTAATGAAACTATTGACTTGTACTAATATTGACTAGATCCAGGATTGACCCCTGTGGAATCCCACTAGACATCAAATCTGTTTGACAATAAACATGGTCTTTAAGAATCATCTTTAGAGCAGTTTTGCACCCAGCTCATAGTAATTGCATGTAGACTGCATTTCTCTAGCATACTGTAACCAGATGTGCACTCACCACCTTGTTGCCTCCGGCTGATCACTCAGGAATTAGCTCCTTCAGCCCTGGAGTGCCCCCTTTCAGCCAGTGTCTCACCCACGGTTACCTACATTCTCCACCTCAGGATACTGCCCTTCCACAATGCCCTTACTTCAGGGTTCTCCTCCTCTGGGAACTCCCCCCTATGCCCACCTTGCCTCAGTGACCCACTGCCAGTCATCATCTAACTCCTTACCTCAGGGGCCAATTGCAGTCTGAAGTGGCCACTCATCAATCATTGGCAAGGGGGTGTGAACCTGCTGCCTTTGCCTATCCTGGCTGCCGCTCTGCACCCTTAGTACTCTCAGGCCTTGCTTCAGGCCCTGTAGCCTGGGAGGTAAGGTCAGGTCAGAGTTCCCCAGCATTGCTCTGTCTCAGGAAGCTGCTGAGCTTCCTCAGCAGTAAGGTCCTTCCTGCTCCTGAGCAAGACTGTCTTCTGTCCTCCTGGAGCCCTTGTTTATGTAGCTCCAGCTTGGCCCTTACTGCCACTGCTGTGGAGCTTTGCTCTCAGCCCTCTCAGGGGTGTGTTTTACCCTTAAAGGGCCAGTGCAGGGCAGATGCCCTGTCACACATACTTATGAGAATGTGTTATGTGACTATGTCAAAAACTTTACTAAAATTAAGACATAATAAATACCCCATATATTAAGACATATAATATATACTGCTTCTCCCCATCATTTAATCTTGCCAGAAAATGAAAATAGCTTGTTTTGGTATAATTTGTTATTAATAAATCCATGTTGGCTCTTTCTCATGACCTTATTATCCTTCAGAAGCTTACAAACTGATGGAACTAATTATTCAAAAATATATCTATATTAGGGTTACCGGTCTCTAATTCCTCTCTTCCTCTTTGTTCCTTCTCTTAAATATAAGTACTAAATTTGCCTTTCTTCATATCTCTGGGACATCACCTGAAGTCTAGGATAGTGATGGGCAACCTAAGCTAGTGAATGGACCACATGAGTAGCCCCCCTTTCATCTCAGTGGACCACAAGATTGTTGTAACCAAGCTGATTTCTCAAGATAGGGTAGTTTTGCTAACTGTGCTTCTGTACCTAGAATTTGCAAGGCATGACTATTGAACTTTAGCAGTACAATGACTGGATGCAGAGGGAGCACACAGGTCTCACAGTCAATATTGTGTACAATTAGCATGAGCCTCACTTCACGTGCTCTTGTTTCATGTGCATATCACTTGAGCAATACAGGTAGAAAAAAACTATGCAGATGGAAACCGCTGGAATCTGGCAATCCTATATATAGGCAAATGGTAAACAAAATGTCTTGCGGGCCGAACATAGAACCCCAATGGGTGGCTCTTAGGTTGCCCGCCACTGATCTAGGAGTTCCTGAAATAATTACTAATGATTCTGAGATTTCTTGAGCTAGTTCAGGGGTGGACAATAAGCCAGACATCATTAATCAGGGTTAGCCCCTGGCAAGCCACTGATGCTTTATTAACCTGCACCTCTGCAGGTAAAACTTCTTGAAATTCCCGTTGACCATGGATTACCATTCCTGGACGATGGTAGGAAATGGTGTCTCAGTCTGCACCATTTCCCGCAGCACCTATTGGCCAGGAATGGTGATCTGCAGCAAATAGGAATGTTAAGTAGCCATACCTGTGGAGGCGCAAGTAAATAAAATGCCAGCAGCCCACCAGGCATTAACTCTATTGAACCACGTCTAGCCCATGGGCTGATTATTGCCCATCACTGAGCTAGTTCCTTAAGTACCCCAAGACAAAATGTCGTCAGGCCTTGACAACTTAAATATATCTAACTTATCTTAACCTGTTCTTTTCCTATTTTCACTTGTGTATCTTCCCCCATGTTTCTTAATACAACTGTGTCACCGCTTACCGTTTTAGTAAACACTGACGCAAAGCAGGAATTAAACACTTCAAACTTCTTGAGGTCGTCAATTTTAGCTCTCCTTTCCTGCAAAGTAAAAGACGCACACTTTCCTTCATCATTCAATAGTTTTAATAGAAATCCTCCATTTGGTGGTGTATTTCAACACACAGCTTTTGTCTAGAAATGTGATCAGAATATATAAGTGAGTCTTGACAGAATGGGCCAGTGCATACTTATCTCTGTGGTCGCTTCTGATGATCAAGGAAGAAATCATTGGTGATCAAGGCCTAGAACCTCAAATCTACTTATGTGCTTAGCTCCCACTTATTTAAGAATAGGTCATCTAAATATCTTTGAGGATTTGGCCCAAGTTTTTATTAGTCTATGGGTCAGAATTAGCCACTATTGTTCACATTGCATAGCACCTCACTCAGCAAGTTTTCCCAATTATAAAAACAGAACTACTCATGTAGGCAGATAAGTCAGGTTTGGAGAGTTAGGCCCTTTGGCATCTTTCACCTTTCATTTTATTATAAATTCTAGACTTAGCACCATCACCAGATACCATAAAACCTCAAAAACTGTGGTTAAAACCTGTTCTCAAAAAATTAAGGGTCAAATCCTTGGAAGTGCTTAGGACCTGCTGTGGGATTTATCCCTCCAATAGAGTTTCCACAGAGAGAATGATTTGAGAGTGCCCAAATATGCAGTCTATTAAGATAGGTACATAGAAACATAACATTGAATTATATTCTAATAAATCTATGTTTTACTGAACATTCCCAAAAACTGCTTTAACTATAATTATTTAACCGAATTAATCTAGGAATTTGTACAGATGTTCAGATGCTATAAAATAAATCTCTCCAAATCTGAAACTATATCAAAATATCTTCATGATATTATCAAATGTAAGTCTACAACTTTCTTTGTCATTTAAATGAGCTAATAAAAATGAAGTTCCTGGGGATTTTTCTTACTCCCTTGATTAAGTCCCTTTTGAAGGTTAACTTCCCTTTCTTCCTTAGTGTTGAGTCATATGTCATTTTAATATAGCACCTTTTATGCATTTACTAACTGCTATTCAGATGAGGTGGTTACTAATGCTTTATTGCTTAACTGAGACCATTTTTGTACAGCCGCTTTCCGAGTTACGAACAAGTTACAGCCCAACACATGGTCCGTAACTCCAACTGTTCATAACTCAGACCCCATTGGGTTACATGTGACCGCGCTGTTCGTAAGCGTGGGTCGCATTCATAACTCGGGGACCACCTTCATTACCACTCCATGGGAGCTTTGGTCGTAAGTGTGAACGGTTGTAACTCGGCCATTCGCAACTCGGGGAGCGACTGTACTTTACTCTAACTACTCAGCTGGAAACTGTTTAATCCCAGAAAGAAACTAAAAACATTGCAGTTTTATAAAGAATGACAGCCCCCAACTTTAAACTGTGTTTTCTGTTATATTAGTCACTGCTTCCCTTTATATCAATGTCACAGAAAGAGATGGAGTGGAATTCAAGTCAAGCATTAAATCTTCTTATGACTTTAACCTTCAGAAATGTGTGACATGTAATGGTTAGAGCAGTAGCCTGACAGTGCTATATTTTCCATATCTGCAATATACATTGTCTGTATGTACCTGGCAGCATTGCCTTTGACTTCATTTTTAAAATCCTTGCAATAATATATTAGAGAAGAAAATTAAGATAGTCCTGTTACAACCAATGGAGGATTTAGGCATAGGCAGTATGATCCATGTCTATGACCTCAGCTTTCAAAATCACATGAGGTCATATTCTTAGATTTCATTTGCAAAGAAGTATTTCTGACCTTTGTGTTTGTGAAGACGAGCCCGATTATTCCTCCTGCAGCAACTTCTGCCAGGGAGCGCATACAGCTCAGAATAACTGGAAAGATTTGAACACCTCCATTAATCCCACCAGTTGCCTGCCAGTAACACAATATGGTCATTATATAGTGAGGGTAATTCTTCCCATTGTCGTTCTACAATGCTGCCTCCTCCTTGTCTGCCAGTGGTAAGTAATTATATTATGACCCCCATTATCACATTATCATATTAATTCTCTTAACAACCCTGTAAGACAGGGAAGTGCTACTAGCCCCATTTCACAAATGGGGAACTGAGGCACGAAGATTAAGCAACTTAATTTGGAAGCATGCAGCAGAGCAAGGATCTGAACCATGGTCTGCAAAAGCCAAGAGCAGCTCCCTAATCTCTGACCTATCATTCATTACATGGATGGATGCTCAGTCTATGTGGGTGGATGCTCAGTCTTGTTTCTCTGGGACCCAGATGGTGTGAAGATAGGAAGCTATGGTTCAGGGAGATGGGGGATGTTGTGCTTCCTAAAAATAAGAGGCAGAGCCCCTTCAAAAACAGCAAACAGCTCTTATGTGCTGTAGACTAAGCAGGGGTGCAACTGGAGGAGTTTGAGGTGAGGTCTATTTACAACATTACATTGCCTTAACACCAGCCTGGTTAAAATTGCTTTCAGCTATACTGCAAGGTCTCTCTGCTACTGCCTATTGTGTTACTACTAATCATTACAAATAAGGTTTATGTTTATACAGGAGGTTAGGCTAGATAATCATAATGATCCCTTCTGGCCTTGGAATCTATGAAGCAAGGTACCACGCTGGTATTTATGGACATATTCAATTGTGATCTATTGATGGTTAGGGGATTACATAGCTAAGTGATAAAATACTGAGTAAAGGCCCTGTCTTTGATAAAGATTTTGTCTGCTTTGTTTTTCACTTAGGATTACCGAGTGAATATTTTTCTCCGTCAGAACTGGAATGATCCACGCCTTGCATATAGCGAATATCCAGATGACTCTTTGGATTTAGATCCATCCATGCTGGATTCTATTTGGAAACCTGATTTGTTCTTTGCCAATGAAAAGGGTGCCAACTTTCATGAAGTAACAACAGACAACAAGTTGTTACGAATTTTCAAAAATGGAAATGTTCTTTATTCTATCAGGTGAGTCTCCTTCAAAGGAATCTTTTTTGAGTACTTTTAACAGGCAAAGACACTTGAAACCAAAAATCTCCAAGTGCTATTTATGCAATTAAATTGTGCAGTGAAGAAAATGTGAGTTTTGAGTGCTGAACTAGTATTGTAATAGCACCTACAGGCATCAAAAGAGAACAGGGCCCCATTAAACTGGGCACTTTCCTTACACATAGTAAGAGATCATCTCTCACTGAAGAGCTTATGATCAAAATAGACAAGACAAGACATAAAGAAAATAAAGTATCATCCCCATGTTACAGGTGACAAACTGAACCACAGAGATATGAAGTGGGCAAACAGGAAGTTTTTGGCAGGTCGGGGACAGAACAGATGTCCTCAGCATTAGTATTTGGGCAGGGTTATAAATGGGTTCAGGTTCTAGCCTTCATTCTAAATATTTCCCATGATCACAAATGTTCAGGAAACCAGAGCTGATATTTTCTTCATAGTCCTATTCCCCCTCCAAACATATCCTCCCACAATACATTCCAACAGCTAGCCCTGCCTTGCACCCCACACATCTCCCCTTCCAGTTCCCTTCACCCCCATCCTCAGAAGAACCAGTCACAGGAGTCTTTCCAGTTTCCTGCTGGGATTCGGTGCTCTCTCTTTGGGGCATACAGGAACTCTAGGGGATAGCTCCTCTTTGCAACCTACCAGCTAGCGGTGAAAACACCAGATTTAATGTATATGTCCAGTGTTACCTCTATATCACTTAATTGTTGTAGCTGTTCTTAAATGTGGAAAGTAGGGACTTTTTAATGCATCCGTATACATACACAGTACTCAAAGAGCTGCTCACATATCGGGGCTGGGAGGCATGATGGTGACAGAAGTATTCGCTTTTTTACATTTTGTGAAACTTTTGAATTATACTACCTAGAATGTAACAAAACAAATATTGACAAAATCAAATTACTCTGATGATTACTGCATTGCTTCTCTTCCTCTCTTTCCCATTTCTGCTCTGGCATTACGATAGCAGCCAATTTCTCATAAACACCTAAGTACAGAACCTCAAAAGGTAATTAGGCACCTAACATTGATTTCAGTCCTTAACATTAGAGGTTATTGCCTTGTACCATTTGAAAGTTAGGCTTCAAGCTTTCATAAGGTATATGTAATTGGTTTTAGCTCTAACACTCCTCATTACTTGTAGAAACTGAGATGGGGGAGATACTAGTAATCAGAAAGGTGTGATTTCAGTGTCCCATGTGCTATTCCACAAATTAGGACTAGAAGTCAATAAAAAAGCATTGCAGGAATGGGTCTGATTTTCCTTTTCATTACAGTCTAGTCTTCATCAGTCACCTCTTTACACAGTTACCAATGTCCTAAAAAAATCAATCTACTTGAGAGATTTGTTTCTTAAACAGAGCTCTTACCATTACCATGTTAAACACCAATTCAATATTACAGCGAGACACAAAATTCGGATCAACTGTACTTTAATTCATTTTTCAACATTCCCTTCTGTTTTATGACAGTACATTTCAGAGCAAAATGTGCTAATTTTCATTTGATGTTTCACTTTTCATGCTTTTTGGGTATTGCATTCTACTCTGATTGCTTTGGCTCTGATAAAGAGAGGAGACTGCATATAAAGTGACATTAAAAGACTGGACAATTGCTGCACTGATGAACTACTGGGTGAAGAGTGCTCAGGAAGTCTCCTTCCTTCCAACACTACAAAGCAGCAGTTTGCCTTTACTGGGAGGTGGGAGCCCTGGCGAATTTTTCCAGCAGTTGTTCTATGTCTCCGGTGATCTATATAGGGCAGTCTGTGAAAATAGGGCTCCCATGTGATTCTGTTGCATTCATTCAGCCATTGACAGCTGACTGTAAGGGAGTACAAAGAACTCCCAATTTAGAGCATACGTAATGATTCTCTGATTCATCCTTCCATGCACTGGCAATATGGTTCTTGGAGACTATTCAGACACTATCATTCTTGGTCATCCTACTTTCCTCTCCTGTCTGCATACAACACAGATTGGCAAGGACAAGAGTTGGATTTAAGGTCCAAATACAAGTCCATTGAAATCTCTGGAAGTTTTGCTAATGACATCTACAGGATTTGGTCTGTCCCCTCTGGATCAGGTTGAATGGGATAGTCTGAGTGCATATTGAAAAGAATGTGACACATTAATGTACAGGCAGTCCCCGAGTTACGCGGATCCGACTTATGTCGGATCCGCAGTTACGAACAGGGTTCCTCTCCCTGGTCTCCAGCAGACCAGGGAGAGGAAGCAAAGCAGCGGAACACGTGGGCAGCGGACAGGGCTGTCCGCTGCCCACGCGCTCCGAGGCTTGGCTCTGCTTTGCCCCCCTCCCTCCCCCTGGTCTGTAGACCAGAGGGGCCGGGAGCAAAGCAGAGCAAAGCCACGGAGCCCGAGGGCAGCAGGAAAGCCACGGCGCGTCTGGGCTGTCCCGCTGCCCCCGTGCTCCACGGCTTTGCTCCGGACACCTGTGGTACAGCAGCTGGGGCGCTGCTGGTTGGTCCCGTAGCGCCGCTCTGGGCGCCACTGGACCAACCCAGCAGCACCCCAGCTGCTCTGCCCCAGGGGTCCCCAAGTCAGCAGCTGCTGAAACAGATCAGCGGCTGATTCCAGGAAGCCCCGGGCCGAGGAGCTGGGGGCACACAAAAGAACAAA